AGCCACCCGGCGGGGTTCCGGATCCAACAAGGGCTACTTGCCTGCCTGCCTGTAATCTGTACAGGCGGCTTATAGTATTCATACCAAATGTTAGCAATTAGCAGGCTGCACTTGCGAATGCAACACCGCCTGAAATGATCGTATTTCGTGGACAGTGATAAGAGCGCAAAACACATTAGCCAACGCGTAACAGACTACTGTGTATTGCCGGAAAACCGTTATGTTTAACTATGTCCTGTCAGAGAAGAGGTCCTGGAAAGGAACGCCATGTGATACAGCACGACTAAACTCGGAAACCGGGACTCAACAAACACTACCATTGCGTCGGGTGGTTTGCAGCACAACTTAAATCTTGAGTACCGGACATCCGCGCAATACATAAGGCTCGCCATTTGTCATTGGGTAAAGAACAAGTGCGAGGGTCAGTCTAGTCAGGCAAGTAAGGATTTAATGTTGACCCCACTAAAAAACTCTGAGGATAAACTAAAATAATACCGAGCATTCGTTGACACGATCATCGAAACCCCAGAACATCGCACGGATTAGTGAGAGGAGGGTAAATGCTACACCACCGAAATGGGATTATCAGATGACCAAGATAACACTCTGGGACTAGTTAAAAACCGAGTAACTAGTTCACTTGTGCACGCGGAACAAAGAGCTTGTGTCGACTATAACTGACAGTGTCACGCCAAAGGTCTACCCAGCAACCTGAGGTGACCGAATCGACCGGCAACTAAGGTATCGTCAAAGCGTAAAAACGAGAACACCGGCCTAACAAAATACCTGAAATAGTAAAAAATATTAATAACCGGGCAAGAAGAGTGTGCCTGTCTGAGACATTTATTCGGGTAGAAAAATTACTTGTGACGCATGCTCTTGACAACACCCATGAGTTCTTCCCTCTTCTTCTTGGATCTGCGGTGGCCACCAATGCGCCTCTTTGTGAACTTTAGAGCCCTTTTCTCACGATCGTTCTTCAACAACTCGAGAATACGACGCTCGTAAGGGGCGAAGCCAACAATTTCACGCACGAGACTGCGGGCGAATTTTGCTTGTTTGCCTCCATGCTTCAAAAATTAGCACTATAAATAAGGAAACATACCGCTTTTGAGGCTGATGGTTTTTGACGTTTCACATTCTTCGTCTTCCGATAGCCTCTTTCGCGCCCAACGGCCACCGAATACTTTCTGATATGGGACATGCCTACTTCACGTCAAAAAAATCAACAGTGGCGGCTATCTGTGGGGGTACGATAAAACAGACACTCTATTGACTCGAGGTCAAATAGGCAACGAATATTCAGTACCCCGAGATTACACATCCAGGATTTATGCGCAATTAATTAACCCCATTTAATTGCTAGGTGAACGATGAGGTCAGAACTTGTGGGCAATTATTTTTTCTGAAACATTTTCCGAAAGAATACTTGATAAAATGTTAATTGTATATCACAACTACATTTATTCATAATCAGGCAAAATAATAATGACCAGCATGACTTACTGGCAATGAAACGATAACTTATATAAAGGAGACTGGAAAAAGAGCTCTTGGATTGTGGGCTCTTGGCCCTACTTATGTGTTGTTTAAATGTATCAATAACCAAATTTGTTAAACTCGAATACAACACATATACGCGCTTTCGGTTTTGACGCGTGCTAGCA